GTCTGATTCTTTGTCAATCGTTGCGGTTGATTCAAGGTGTGCATCCTTTATTTAACATTTCAATTGTTAATTTTGTTCAAACATTCCTAATTTACACTCTTAATAATGCATCATGGTGCCAATAATGCACCCCAAAAAAAAAAAAACGTCGTGGCTTTAGGGTGATCATTTTAGTTCTATTGTTTTCAAGGTGCACGTGATTAAATTTCAGTCTGCTAGCTACCATAAAGAGGATTTCTTTTTTCTTTTTTTTTCTTTTTTGGGTAACACATAAAAATGAATTTATTTGTAAGAAAAAGGCATTATGGGTTCATTGGCGCCCCGGATAAAACCGAACAATGGGACAAGTGAGACAACTTTTGATTCGCAAAGAAATGGGAGAAGCTGAATAAAAAATAAAAAATGATTTAATTATAGTTGCTAAAACAGCATATGCCAAATCTTTAAACTAAAGAAATGAGACATGCTAACAACATTCTTTAGCTAGTTAATTAATCAGCGCATGCATCATGCCATCATGCCATCATGGTTAGTTTGGTTTCTTGGACAAGAAGAATATGGGATTGTGATCTGTAATTATATATTTATTTTCACTAATGATAGCAACGCGAATTCCAGAGTCATGACTTTGTGTTAATTAGCAGCAAATTATTCATGAGCCCAAGCAAATAAGCAGCTTGCCTAACCTGCATGTTTCTTCATCAATAATAATCATTCTCTCTAAGTTGTTTTATGCATGTTTCTTGTTCATATTCACCTAATTCGAGTATAATTAATATATATATATTCTTCGGAAGCCCAACTTTGTTTGCTGAGTTAACGTTTTGTGCCCCTTGGAATGAATTAGGCCATGCAATATTATTATTCATAGAAAAAACACATGCAATAATATTCCTCTCTCAATAATCAACCCTAGGGCTTCAATATTGATTCTTCTCCCTCTCTCTATTTATAGCTCTTTCTAACCTGCATAGCTAGCCTAGCTCTATATATTACATGATGATGAAATCTCTCCAAGTTTTCTTTATGATAGCCATGCTCATTATGGCTTTAGCCATTACTCTCTCAGCAACGATACCAAACCAAAGACAAGCATTCTTCAGGCCGGGATCGTCAACAAGCCGGTTCCTTGCCTCTCAGTCGTCTCCGGCTCGGGGTGGATGCGACCAAAACCCTCTTGCTTGTAGAGCCACTGAAGGCAGTGCAGGGCCAGATTGCTGCAGCAAAAAATGTGTGGATTTGAGGACAGACATATCCAACTGTGGTTCTTGTGGGAAGAGATGCATTAGCTCAGAGATATGCTGCAACGCTCATTGTGTGAATCCAATGTCTCACAATCAAAACTGTGGCAAGTGCTCCAACCACTGCAAGAAAGGCACTTCTTGTGACAATGGAATGTGCGACTATGCATAG